AATATCCGTCCTCTGAGCTACTTTGAGGATGTGACAGCAGCTGTGTCAGAGGTCAGAGATAAACTACAGGACATTCTGAGAGAGGAATGGACAAACATCTCACTGACAGTCACTGAAGTGGATGTTTTACTGTCAGATCCACCAGAGCCAAAGACCAGAGCTGGATTCTTAAAATATTCGCGTAACATCACACTGGATCCAAACACAGCAAACACACAGCTGTTATTATCAGAGAGGAACAGAAAAATTACATTTGTGAAATATCAGCAGTCTTATCCTGATCATCCAAACAGATTCAGATATTGTTATCAAGTCCTGGGTAGAGAACGTCTGACTGGACGTTGTTACTGGGAGGTGGAGAGGAAAGGGCGAGTTTATGTAGCAGTCGCATACAAGAACATTAGCAGAGCAGGGTGTGGAAAAGTGTGTGGATTTGGTCGTAATGACAAATCTTGGGCATTAGATTGTTCCAAAAACAGTTACACATTTTGGCATAACAACATTGAAACTCCAGTTTCAGGTCATGGGTCCTCCAGAGTAGGAGTGTACCTGGATCACAGAGCAGGTATTTTGTCTTTCTATAAAGTCTCTGAAACTATGACTCTCCTCCACAGAGTTCAGACCACATTCACTCAGCCGCTTTATGCTGGACTTTGGTTTTACAATAATTATGGAGATATTGCTGAGTTCATCAAACTGAAATAGACTGAACTCGTTCATATTGTTGTGGGTTTAAATTGGAGTGGATCTTTCACTTGAGCTAGAATTTTTGGGATCGGCCCGAGTTTCACCTTAATGTGTCATGCATCGTGTAGTATACATGGAGTAACGAGAAGAGAGTAACACCTCACGACCAGTTCCCGATCAGCAATCATATGGTCACAAGAAAGTCAAACCTTTTTGAAATCCTGGTCGCCCCTCGTGAGAGTATCCACTGTTGAAGCAGTGCCACGAGCCAATTTAACGCAACCTCTCACACTGTGCGTGCCCAAACACAGCGTGTGATCTGGACACAAGCTACGGACGCCTAACTTGTAGAACTTTGGCAAGTTCATCCGAGCCTTTTCAATGTGGCCTCACAAAATTATCACAACCACAACAACCGTGAAGAGCTAGATGGACTTTGCTGCTCAGTTATGTTTTCATTAGCAATTTAGAAAAGTTGATGGTGGTGTGTGTGTGTGTGTGTGTGTGTGTGTGTGTGTGTGTGTGTG